TGAGAGAGAGAGAGAGAGAGAGAGAGAGAGAGAGAGAGAGAGAGGGGCGGCGAGTTAGCCGCGACCCTCCGTGCAGGTCGCCGCCTCTCTCTCTCTCTCTCTCTCTCTCTCTCTCTCTCTGTGTGCGACTTTCAAATCGCAAAGCAGGAATGAATCTTCCTGCGAAAGTGGGAAGATTCATTCCCGCTTTGCCTTTCGGAAGGGAAGGCAGCGGGAATGAACCATTTATTTTTCTTATTTCTTTGTTTTTTTTATTTGTTTTTTTCCCGTTTTTTTCGTCTGTCTCACATGGACGTTCAGAATGCCTGCGCCCGGTAGTCCGAGCCTCGGCACGGGTCGTCGTACCGGTCGGCCGAGGCTCGGACTTGATAGCTGAGCGAGGTACTGGTGGTTTAATACCATAAGCTTGTGAAATGCCCTTTTGGATTTAGATCTTTGGGATCTACACCTGTCAGGTGGAGGCGCAAGTTTGCATTCTGCCCCTGGCAGGGATATAGCACAAACCTGGCAACCCCGTGACAAGGGTTTAAATTTAAATCCAAGCAAAAGGGCATTTCACAAACTTCTTGATTTTGTCACATAAGGGCCCCTGCGCAAGGATGACAATCATATATCCAGAAACGGTCCAGATTTTTTCGAAGGGGAGAGAAAATTTAGAGCGGTTTTGCACTCCACAGACATCTTTTAGTGGCATTTTAGTGCACATTAAACTTTCAGGGGTATTTCGCCACTTTTCGCTTTTGCTTTCCTTAGTTCGGAAAATAGTGGGCCTTTCAGGAAGCTGAAACGAAAATACGGCCAGCGATCAGATTTATCACCGGGAGCCGTTGTCTGGCCCAGCCTCCTAAAAGTTCGGGAATACGCTAAAACTTGCCGAAATCAGACGGCAACGGTACAGGTGGTTTAAACCACCAGTGCTTGGCCCATACTGGTGGTTTAAATCACCAGTGCTTGGTCATATTTTTTTCTACTTTCCAAGTCTATTATCTGCTAGTTTCCTGACTGATGATGTTTTACTCTAACGCACTGTGCAGGTTCCGCAGCCACAGCCAGTGAAATCAAGACAACACAACAACTGTGATTCCGCAACCATCCACAAGACAGCCCACTACAGGTGAGTACACAAAGTCAATCAACATCACAACAAAAACAAACAAGTGTTAGCTGCTATCCTTTGGCTGTCATCTTACAGATAGCTGTGTGCCCAGACACATGCCCTGGCGCATGGCACTACAACATATTCTAGTGTTGTACAGCCTGCCAGGTCTATTATCCACACTAGTCTCTCTTTAGGCTTGGCAACTTGCCACATCAGTGTTACCAGGTGCTCCACACCAACAAAGCCTCAGGGACAGGGATAATTGGTGGAAAGCGCCCACGCTGAAACCATTTCTGTTTTGCGCGCCCAAAATCAAGAATGCTTGGTACAACCGGCCCAAACAAACTCCGCCTGGGTGAAGTGCGCCTTCGTGCCGTGGCCACGGATGTGTTGATCTGTTTCTAGGGGACAATGAATCTCATTCTGTTTCTGCGCCAGATTCATGAACCGGTAGGGCCACTCTTTTTCAAGGTACCCTACTTGGGCCTCATTTATTAAGGGCACTATCCTTGGCCTCTTTCACATCGGAACGAATCTGGTGCTGTTTGTGCACCAGATTCATGATCTGGCAGGGCTCTTATACCCCACATGGAAACGTTTGGGCATGTAGTACCAAACGGCCGTGTTTTGGCCGCCCAAAACCAAAGAGGTTTTGGTGTGGGCGCTTTCCACCAAGTATCCCTCAGGGACATGTAAGCAAGACATGCCATGTAAGCGTCAACGGCCAACTAGGACACTTATTCGTGGGCTATGGCTGCTGTCACCTTATTCTTTGTCACCTCTCTGTTCTCTCACCTTCTTCTTCGTCACTAGTCTTATCTCCCATCCTCCGCCATGGTTGTGCAGACAATGGGAACCAGCTCCGATACCACTAGTCTCGATTTCACGTCCAACATGCATACATGCAGATGTCGATGGCAAAACAACTTCCTCGAAGCAGAATCAGCAACAAGCTTGAGATGGCGCAGTGCGCCCACACAGAAAACTCAGGGATATGGCCTTCGGCCTGGAACTCGGCTCAAAACAACTTGTCACATCTTGCAGCTGTGGCGTCTGAGTGGCAGTCTGAAATTCCCTCCCGAACAATGTATCCACCATCAAACACACTCACACGCCCGTACGCACACAACAATTGGATCTACCTTGAATCTATGTATCACCCGCGGTCATGACCACGATCCCACTGACCTCATGCGGTCCGGATCAAGGGCGCGGGGGCCGAGCGCGGCTGCAAGACCCCAACATTTTTAATTCCTAGGATAATAGGCAGAAAACTAGGCTACCAGCCGGGCCGCCCGGGTCCCGGCTGGCCAGCCCGTGCAAGGACAATGGAAGGTCCC